AGAGAGAGATGTAATACGGTTTCCTGATAAAGCTGTGGAGAGTATGTGCTGCAGGGAGGTGGATGCACAATGCACCCAGGAACGAACGCTAGTTCCGGTCCTTTTCCCGTGAGGGAAACTGTGGACTCGATGTCCTGACAGGCTGGTATTTGTGCAACCTGCACAAACACAATACTGCAACATGATTACAAATGGTGAAATACAATGTAAAACTACCGAAAAATACCAGCTAACTAAAACACAACCGCTCAACTCAACGCAACTACTAACTATACCCGCGGTCGGAGAGCGGAGATGTTTACCCTTTGTGATGTAATATGACGCGTTTGACGTATGACCTTAAAAAAAAAGCCGTTTTTAAGAGCAGAGCTCAAAATTGCTCCTTTCCCTCTAAATTCCTGCCCTTATGTCTCGTAAAACATATCAAATCCTACATTCACTTTTTTAATTGTAATTTTCAAGCAAGTTTAAGCATAAATTTAGAAAAAAGAAATACCTGGAAGATGCTCTTTAAGCTGCTGCTATACTATGTTCAATAGTTAGCCGCTAGCATTGTCTCTCGGCTATAAGGCGCCAAGCATAAAGTGTACAGTTATGCTCTTCTCCTAAAAACAAGTTGATGAGAGCATTAAGACTGATCCAAAACCATAGAGTTGCAGGTAAGAAAAATATAACAAGAAGCTGAAAGAAGGTAAAATGTCCTGCAGAGCTGCGGCAGACTGCAGAGTCTGGGGATAATTAGCTCATCAGAGGAGGTTTAGGTTATGTTCTTTGGTTTGGTGTGTCTGTCTGTTTGTTTAATTGACCAAACATTAAATATGTTGGGGCGGAGCCGAAACACCGGGCAATCGCGCACATTATTTTTTATTTAACTTTGGTTCACATAGTGAGTTAAGACACAGCGGAGGACTCCTTTGTCGACTATCTCTTTTTTTACGCTTTTATTTACGCAGTCATTTTGTTGATATAAAATATTAATTATTGCACCTTTAAATTATACTTTAGGAGCATGTGTGTGTCAGCCAGTTTGTATCAGAAGTGGTGCTTCTCACAGTTTGTTTTATAGCATTATTGTCTTTGCCAATTCCTCCTTCAAAACCATTCTAATGGATTTCTCACACCACAGACTTGAAAAAAAAAGCCAACTGTTATCCCAAATTCAAGTGTCTGATAATCTTTTCAGAGATATTGAAATAATGACGTCCATGTTTTTCTGCATTACTGGAACTGTAATAGTTGTTATACTATTTATAGTCAGTGGAATCTCTAAGAAAGATACACAGTAGTACTAGAATTGTGAAAGGTATCGTTGTGTTGGCACGGTAATATTTCCCAACCTGACAACCAGTAGGGTCCAGTTATAAAAAACAGCAGCACCAATCACAATCAGCCAGTGGTAGTAGGCGTCATCAGATGGTGATAAGACCTCCACTTTACACTTCCTCCTCCTGGCAGAGAAGAGAAAAAGAAAATTCAAAGGGTTAAGCATGTAAGTTTCAGGTAATGTTTTATCTGTAGGCATTTAAAAATATTTCTTGTTGTCTTACATGCTTCTGGAGCGTCTGATTTCATGATCTGCATCAGAGCCATTTTGGCTGTGGCTGAACCTGCTGGGCGGGGCTTGTTCGTCCGTGTTGGCGGGGCCTCTGAAACGCTCCAAGAAGGAATCGGGACGCTCCGTCTCTTCTGCCAAACTCTTATGGGCCCATTCTCTCAGAGTCATCACCATACTGACTATCCTGAAGACCAAATGTTACATTTATAGTAAATGGCACCAATAATTTACTATTTTTGAATATTTAACTTTATTGCTCACAGGAAATAGATCAGATCTAAATACATCTATTTGAATATTTAAAAAACTGAACTTGTCAAATTCATCTTATGTGCTATCAGCTGTTCTACCTGGATAGAGCACCTCGCCCTTGCAAGGAATTCTGGGAATGAATGTCTCTTCTTTCAATGGCCGCCATTCTCTGAAGCTCCGAAGAAGTGTCATCACACATTGACTGTGCTCTACACATATAACAAATACATAGACATATATTATTTAGTGACAAGTATCTTCTTCTTCACACTAGTAAACAATAACATAACTCGCCTTTTAGTGCTGCTTTAGTAACCACCGACTGCTTTGAAAAGAAAAGTGGCTGCGTAGCGGCTAACTGCTAAGCTTTGTTCCTTAGCTATGGGCTAACTTGTCTGTGCTGTTTGGTGCGGAGAAAGTAGCATAAAGTTGTTTATCTGATTTTTTTGTGCTGAAAACAGCTTCCTGCAGCTGTGGGTTTGATAAAAGTTGTGAGACTGAACCAACAAAAGGTTTTGGGGCCATGAAACCAAGACATTGAGTTGAGCTCTGCAGAGCTAACGGAATTGTACATTCTGGTGGTATTCAATAGGTTTTGAAGTAACAACTAACAAATTACACATTTAGTTTTTCCCATTGCTAATATACATAAATTATTGGCATTCAATTTGTCATGTTAATGTTAAAGCAAATATCTATCATTGACAAAATACAAAATACATAAAACGTTATTGTTATCTACTTATCTCAAGTATCTGTAGTTAAGGACGAGTAAGCTAACACTCGATTTGCGAATATCTATAAAAATATGTGTGGTGTGTGTGTTTGTGTGTGTACCTGCTGAGTGTGCTGTCAGCTGGCTCACTCTCGTCCTCTATCCATGTTTTCACAGACAGCCTGTGTGAATCCTGCACTGGACTTGTCATCCTGCACACAGCAAGTCTCAATTCATTTCCATTCTCACCACTGACAGACATGCCAACATAAAACTACAAACTAAAACTAAAAAGTCAACTCAACATACACAAACACTCTCATAACATACATGGATAAATGCAAAAAAATGCAAGCTACCAAACATACATTTACATTACAGAGGCTCACGTTGACTGCCAAACACACACTCAACTCACTAAGCAGCACACACTAATGCAATGATGGACCCACAGTCAGAAAAGGAAGGTCATCCAGTACGAGGTCATCCCATATTAGGCATCACCATGGAAACCACATAGCATAGCAACAAGCTGTAAAGTAATTATGACAACACATCATAAGAGGGAGAAACAGAGAGATGTTCGAAGTCAACAAACCTGATAAATGTCCAGATATCCCAACGCTAGCTCATCAATTCCTCAGTTATGTTCACGTCTGTGTTTCATCTGCAACCCATCTCTATCCATTTAGTGGGATTCATGAGACATTAATCATGAAGGACTGACAAATATGAAGGATTGGACGGGTGATGGAGAGAACAAAAGCAACCTATCAAAGGGAAGATCACATGGCTCACGACAAAAGCATCCTTTAAATTGCAAATGGTGTGTTGTGTGTGTTGCTGTTCACCAGAGAGCTCATCTATATTCAAGAACCTTGTTTGAAGTGGCTTCTGAAACACAAGTGTGTCTTTGTGTCCATGTATTCTCCTGATTACTGAAAGAGGAGTGCTTTTATACACACACCTGCACACGTGAAATTGAGACATGTTTTATTAAGGTTACTAGAAATAGAACAGATCTAGGTAAAAGAAGATAAGATCCAAATATATTATATTCACAGATAGAAGATGGATGGATCCGGGTAGAGAAAATCTTGGTAGGAGATGATCATTTTTGGGTTGAAGATGACCGGAAATGGGTAGAGGACACTAAATCTTCATAGATACAGAAGTTTTCTGGGTAGAAAAGGCAAGATTTAGGAAGAAAAAGATTATATCTGGGTATAATCAGACCTGATCTGAGTAAAAGACGGTCCTATCTGGGTACAACAAGACCGTATCTGGGTAAAAAAAGGATGTTATCTAGGTAGAAAGGGTCAGATTTTGGTTAATAAAGACTGAATCTTGGTAGAAAGGGACAGATTTTGGTTAAAATATACTAGATGGTGATTCCAAGATGGCGGCGCGCTAGACAGACGTGTTTCTTTCTCATCCGCACAATCGTATTAATCCTGATATAAAACCAAAAACTAACAACTACGACAAAGTGCCCAGCTAGCGGGGAACGTTCTCACAACGTTGGTTAACGTTACATATTGGTTCTAATAAGGTTGTAAAGAAACGTTTTAATCTGATGTTCAAAGAACCTTTGTTAGGATGTTTATTTTTTCAAATAATGTTCCTATAAGGTTTAAGGTTAACTAAGACATAACGTTTTAACTGCAAAATTCAGAGGATGTTTTGAGGATGTTATTAAGGCCTGAGATGACAGAAAGTTTTTTTATAAAACGTTGCTTTAATGTGATATGTTAACAAAGGTGGAACGTTTTCCTTGCAACATCCTAAGGATGTGTTTTGGACATTGTTGGGTAACACATTAAAGATGTTCTTTATAAAACGTTCCCTCAATGTTACATGATAACAAATGAAGAACATTCTCCAAGCAACATTCTGAAAATGTTTTCAGGATGTTATTGAGGCCAGAGATGACAGAAAGGGTTTTATAAAATGTTCCTTCAATGTGATATGTTAACAAAGATGTAACGTTTTGCCTGCAACATTCTAAGGATGTGTTTTGGACGTTGTTGGGTAACACATAAAAGATGTTCTTTATAATACGGCCCCTCAATGTTACATGATAACCAAAGAAGAACATTTTGAAAGCAAAATTTGAATAATGCTTTCAGGGGGTTATTATTTTTTTATAAAATGTTCCTGTGATGCGAAATATTAACAGGGTCATGGTCAACGTCAGATTTATTTCTAGTGCGCTTTAAAAAACAAACTTGCTGCATTTGTTTGAAAAGGATGTTTAAAAGAAATGTGATGTCACCACATTTTCGTTTTTAGAAAAGAACAAGCACGTAATTCATGATATTGCATGTTTGCGTAGACATGTCTGAGTTCCCAGCTAGACATTGTTGATTCTAAAAACATTCTGAGAATGTTACCATTCATTGTTCTAGGAATGGTTTCATCGAGAAGTTTTATTTTGGTTCCTAGAATGTACTTCTGAAAGGTAGGATAACGTTCTCTAAAAACATTCTTAAAATATTTGGTGATAACATTGTTCGAACATTATACCCCAAGTGTTTTTGTTGTTTATGCACATATCTCTATTGTCATATGGATCGAATAACACTTAGAAAACCAAAGACAGAGATATAGAAGAATGGTCTGCTCTACACGGCTGGGAGCAATCTCCAATCTCCAATATCCGGCTGGGAGCAATCTCCAATCAACCACACCTGCAACCTGCTCATCAGCCACACTATGAAAACCTGCAGCCTGCACTCATTCCCTGCCGGATTGTTGTGTGCC